TTGTCGTTGTGTTAGCTTTTATAATTCAAATCGAATCAGCTAATTTGGGTGTTGGATGATAAATTTACGCATGAATGACCTACGTTTTGAATTTTAGATAGCTTAATTACCAAATTTGTGGACATAGTTCATTGATTCATGGATAAAATTCCTGTCAGGTATCCAATCCTGGTAATTCAAGTTGGATTAGAAATCTAACATGAAGAATTATAAATTTCGTGATTTGATTTTTGCCTAATTCAGACTAAATAATTGTCAAAATTATATTTGAAGTTCAAAAGATTAAAACTGAAACGACATTTATCACGTTATGTTGAAAAAAAGTGTTTACGTACTAGTGAAATTTAGCATAATTAATATGAGATTATCTCATGTTTAAAATTTATAATTAAATTACAGGACATTAAACAATTGAAAAGTTATTATAAATAAAAAACAATTGATAAATTAATAATTATATTGACTAATATAATTAGTAATTACCCCTTGGCAAAATACCAAAAACACCCTCAAAGCCCAGTAAGCTCCGATATCCAGAGAGAGAGAAGAGTGGAGAGAGAGAGCGAGAGAGAGAGAGGAGAGAGAATCATTCAGGATTTCTCAGTAAAACCTATCTCGAAGTTAAAAAGAAAATGGCGTCGGCGTTGAGATCCGCCGTACTCCGCCGCATTCAGGTTCCAATAGCCCGATCTACAGTCATAAATGGATCACAAATGACGGCCGTCCGATCAATGTCATCCCACGGCGACGATCATCTCGACAAGCAGGAAGTCGTTGACCGAGTTCTCGAAGTTATCAAATGCTTCCCCAAAGTTGACCCCTCGGGGGTCTGCTCCTTCATTTCTACCTTCCATTTTTTTCTTTGATGTTGAAATTCTAATTATGTAATTTTTTTTTTATTTTTTTTTATTTTTACTTTATGGTTGAATTGATGGTACTGTTGAATTTTATGACACATGAAAATTTTCAATTTAAAATATTAATTTGTGTAGATTTTTTGGCTGAAGAAAATGATGAATTAAAATCCAGACTTGAATAATTTCTGTAATGGGATTTTAATTTTTAGCACAATCTCCATATTATATAGTCTCACAGGAAAAAGAAGAAGTGTTTTGTTAAGCTATTAGTGAGAAACATAGCTATTAAACTTAGGGTTGAAAACTGGTATTCCGAATGTATAGAAGTTAGGGTAAATCACGGCCATCCCCTGCGGTAAGGTTAAATTACGGAAATACCCTTCGTGTATGGGTAATTACAATCATCCCCTCAACTATGAATCTTCTTACACGTCAAATTAAGCCGGAATCTTCTAGATTATGTGAAATATTCTCTAGTTTGTGCCTCGTTTTATCCCGTTCGAGTTCCATATTTTGAAACAATATGATCATCATAAGATGTGTCTCTTGGCTTGTTCATATCAAATTGTGGCTCATCAAAAAACTGTATACCTGATCCACAAAACATGTACAAAGTAGAGAATATTCCAGGG